ATCACAAAGCACTTTTCAGCAACATCAACAAATTGTAAAGTTATGAAAATATAAAGATACGAGTAAAGACTGACTCTAATTATCTAAGAGTTCAATTTCATCAGTTTGTGGTACATGGTAACAACTGTGTGAGCCTAGAGATTTTTAAAACTATGGATAAGGCTGGTTTAAATTTTAATTCAAAGCACTTTATAAGTATTAATTCATTACTTCCAAGTCATTATGAAGTAATTCTATATTCTTTTCACAAATAAGCAAATAGAATATTCATTAATTTAGTTATAGATGCTCTGGATTATAGGCCTTGAGAGTAAATTACTAGGTCAACTTTACTGTGCTTTACGTCAGACAGTAACACTGATGGCTAAAGTAATTTTTTGTACAACTTAAAAGAAACTGGGTCAAAGAGGCGTCTAAGGCGTCTAAACCTAAGGCAAAAACCTAACTCTAAGGAAGATTTTACTATAACAGGTATGAGAAATATTCCCATGAGCATTTTTACAACCGATTTGAAAGCAATCTTGTTTCAGCCTATTTGAAATAGGTATAGAGTAGATTCCAACATGTTTCTTCTTTGGAGTGTTTCCATTTGACAAGATTTTGCTGTTATATTTGAGATTAGTTACTTTTTGCAATACAGGAAACTAAACATATACTAACCAGAGATAATGGATTAAGCACTCATACATATGACACTATATTGGACACAAAATAAACTTTCACAGCTCCTATCTTTTTTAAGGCACTTATTTAAAATCAATGACTATTAACATATTAAAAACATGTATAAAACCACAGGCATATGAATCGGTAACAAATACTGTATGCTCCACAGAAGTATTAATTTTATTGTTCCTGTGTAGGAGTTGGACAGAAAAATGACAATTTAAAAGAAGAATGTACATTTGTAAAATCCCTCTTTCTAGTTAATAGAGAAATCATATGCTCAGGACTAATCATATTGCTAAATTTTTATTCTTTTCTGCAAGAATATATTTGCTGTGTTATGCTCGTTTTGAGCGTGTAAGTACATTGGACTACTTTGTGCTTATTCCCTGAAGCGGCATTCCAACCACTGTGATGCCAGAGATTAATCAGGAGAAGCATCACTAGCTGGCAATGAGAACAGGCAAACACGCCCATTCAGGCTGGCACCTCTATTTTTAGGAATATACTGGGTCACAGTTTGTCACTATCACAGGGTTCCCTGGGACTCCCAGTGAAATCTGTGACAGTATATTGCCTTCTTTGCCTTGGTAATACCCCAAACAATCTCTGAATGCTTCAAAGGAATATCACCAAAAAGTGACAGAAGCTGGCATCATAAAGCTATTTATCAAAAAGAAGAAAAAACAGGCAACTGGAGCATGGGTAGGGAAGTGGACAAGAAAACAAAGCAGAAGTGAGTGAAGAGTAGGGGGAGAAGTTGAAATAAAAAACAAATTTAAAATACAGTATCACAACATTAGAGCTGAAAATCAATGGAGGGAGAAAAAATGGGTTTTAGAAACAATTATTAATTTTCTAAATATACTGACAGTAAAATATATAAAATATGCCTTTTAAACCAATGCTAAGGATATAGATTTAAGGAATGGCTGGTGAAACTGAAATGTTGTTTTATAGTACTTATCAGTTTCCAGTTAAAATATTGACACGTTTTAAAAACCACACAAATCAATGGTCAATATTTTTTCAGTTAAAATGGAGAATGGACCAGATTACTAGCTTATAATAATTGCATGGTCTCTTATTAAGAAACAGCGAGGAACCACTATCAGTAATGCAGTTTGACAGGGTGTGATACAGGAGTCAGAATTTCTTTTCTTTTTTCCTGCAGTCTACTTAATGCAGTCAAGCTAAAATGAGATTTGCCACTTCCATAATTTAAACATAAAAAAATAATTTTCTTTATCTATATCACATATGCTATAGTCTATAAAATTCCATTAGAAATTAAATTTTTCCCAGACTGAAACGTAACATCAAAATGAACATGAAAGTCAGTTCTTTGCATAATTCATTTTGAGTCAGCTGAACAGTAGGTAAACCACTGTCAAATTAAGCACTTAAAAAAAATTAGAACTTCTTAGCAAGTCTCCGATTACCCATTCATTCCAATGGTAAGTTGCTTTTCTTAAATCTCAATCTACTTCCCAGCAGGATACCCCGACTGATAAACCATCAGTAAAATGTCAGCTTCCTTTGAAGGGAAGGCAGAGGAGAAAGGGAACAAATGGTAAAAGAGAAATCTTTATTATTTACAAGAGAAAAATGAATGACTCTGATAATTGCCACTTTAGAAGGGAATAAGGGGAATAAAATCCTAAGTATTTTTATTAATAGAATAGGTACTTGATGATCCAGAGAGGCAACTATACATCACAGAACAGGAAAGAATTCATTATCTAATTCCCTACCTTAAGACGAAAAAAAAAAAAAAAAAGAAATAAACATTACCAAATTGGTGAACACATTACTGTTTAAAAAGTCCAGGAAAAATTCCCTTTATCAGTAAAAGCCAATTTGTATTAAAGCATGCGTGAGCTGAAAGTTTTCCTTGTTTGTTTAACTTAAAAGTCTTATTCCCCTTTAGGCAGGATTTTTCGAATTTCCAAAAGACCATTAAATCACTCTTCAGCCTTCTCTTCCACATAAAGAAACTACAACTGTTGTTTCTTTCCTCAAAATGTTTCACTTCTTTGTTTGACGATGTTCTGTGTATTCTACTTTTCTTTGGATTTCTTCATATTCATATTTAAAAGAGAAGCCCCTAAACATCAGGGTGTTCTTAAAGTGTTAAGTTTTAAATGAAAAATTTCTTTAAAAGGCATTTGGCTCATTCATGGTTTACCTATTATCTTCCAATTATACTTTTCCTAACCTGTTACCTTTTACATTTGGGATGAATGACTGCTTCTGATTCTGAAAACTCTAAGATAAACATCTTCCTCAATCTATTCATCACTCCAGTCTTTCCAAATAATTTTGAATCGACTATTCGAAGTGAGCTTACCCTTCAACTTCCAATCAACCTCAAAATTAGTGGGCATCAGCCAAACAGACATTTTTAAAGAATTACACATTGCTAAATAATCTTCTCCTTGGTGGAATGAACCCAGGAAAACCTCAGTAGACAAATGGCTCAAAATTCCCATGACAAGACATATGTGACTTATTATAAGCAAAAATACATAAATACCACATTTAAATTTAATGAGCCATCAGATTATATAATAATACCAGCGCAGGTGCACAGGGGGTTCAGCTTTAACTCTGGTTGTAAAAACTGGTTGGCTAACATGGTTCAGCTCCCACATCTAGATCCCGAATTACTAAAATCTGGATCAATGTGGGATTAACTTATTAATAGGTTCAAAACATCTTGAGGCCTCTCGATACAGATACACACGATGTGCCCCTGTGCAATGTTCATGCCTCTTCTGTCATTAGCCAAAAGAAAATAAGCATCCAGCAAGAGTAAATACTCCCAGAATTAGAATATTCCCATTAAAAACAAACAAACAACACACAGAGATATTAAGAGGCAGAATATTTTAGTACCCTTGAGGCCTTACACCTAAAAGAAGCTGAAACGACTGGTGAAAACCTTTCGTGCTTTCAGTAAAGCGCACTTGCTAGGGTTTCATATAAAGAAAATAATGAAGTTCAGAAAGTAGTTCCAGTTTTTATAATAAGGAACGCGGTGAGGAAGAGGACGGTAACGGGGTCGAATCCTGCCATTTCAGTAAGATTATTTCTTGACTGCAGAGCCACTTTGCAGGGGGGGCGTTTCCTTACACCGGCCTTCTCACTGCCCAAGGTAGGGGTGATCCTGGGCAGGAGCTGCAGCAGGTGAGGAGGGAGGGAAGGCCTCCGCCCCAGAGGGGTGATGCAGCGTGGTCCCTCCTTACAGATCTGGATAAAGACCCTACAGGTCTGGGATAAAGCCCTACTTTATTTATTTTTTTTTAAAGGCTTTACCTATGTATGTATTCACGAGAGACAGAGAGAGAGAGAGAGAGAGAGAGAGAGAGAGAGAGAGAGAGAGAGAGAGGCAGAGACACAGGCAGAGGGAGAAGCAGGCTCCCTGCAGGAAGCCCGACGTGGGACTCGATCCTGGGTCTCCAGGATCACGCCCTGGGCTGAAGGCAGGTGCCAAACCGCGGAGCCCCCCAGGGATCCCCGAAGCCCTACTTTCCTGGGAACCACGGACTCCAACAAGCACCTACGGGGAGGGGTGGAAGGGGGTGGGGGTGGGGGTGGGGAGGGAATCCAAACCACCGCGGCCGAACGTGGGTGGGACGCGGGGGCAGAGTCTGGGGACCGCAGGTGCCTGGGGCCGGGGTCTCGGCCTCCGAGCCGCGGCCGCCGTCGTGCTTTGCAAACACCGATGCCACTGCCCCGGGGGCGCGCTTCCCCGCCCGGGGCCACTCACCCAGGTTGACGACCTTGAGCGCCGTGAAGAACCGGTCCTGCGCCGCCAGGTCCTGCCAGGGGGCCTTGGAGCAGTGGTACTTGATGAAGGGGAAGCAGCCGGTACGCAGGACGTGGTAGTTGGCGCCCGGCACCGGCCAGTTGAAGTGCGAGAGGCCGAACTGGTCGTTGCGGACGGCGCTGTAGGGCACGCAGAAGGAAGTCCAGTGCGGCAGGCGCCGCTGCAGCAGGTGCCGCGTCAGCACCTCCGAGGCGCGGGGCTTCGGGCGGGAGGCGGCGCCCGAGGCCCAGGGCCCGCGCAGCAGCAGCCGGACCGCGGCCTCGTGGGCCCTCCGCAGGGGCTCCATGGCCTGCCCGGTTCCGGTCCCCGCCCCCTCGGCCGCCGCGGGGCGCGCGCCGCTCGGGGGGCGGGGCCGTCCGAGCGCGCACGCGCGCACGCGCCCTGGGGCGAGCCGGCGGGGACGCCCAGGGGGCGCCGCGCGAGTGCGCGAGTGCGCGAGAGCCCCCGGGGCGCAGCGGCGCGTGCGCATGAGGGTCTCGCGGGCTCCCGCGGAGAGGGGGGGCGGGGGGGTCCGAGGAGGCGGAGGCGCTGGCGGAGTGACACGCGCGGAGGGTGAGGGTCAGCCCGGCCTAGGAGGTAATGAAATCCTCACAGGTGACTTCACGCAGCCGTTAACCACCCTGGGCCGTGGGGTGGGGTGGGGTGGGGTGAGGTGAGGTGAGGTGAGGTGAGGTGAGCTGGGGCGGGATTCCGGAGGTTTATCAGTAGGGGCGTGAGGTAAATTAAGACAAATAATCCCCGTAGTGAGGAGGCAGAACTGGCACCCAGATCTTCCTTCAGGGCCTGGGGCTCAGGTAACCCGCCTACCTGGAGTCGCTGAGGAGACACCTGGCCAGGTGTCCTGGGGGAAGCAAGTCCCCAGATTTGCACTGGCGAAGTCAGGAAGCGCTTTTTATGTGTAGGTGTTCTCTGTCGTGGTCGCTGTTTAGGGTAAGCCTCAGGTAGTTCGAAGTAAAGGTTATAAATCATAAAAGTAGAAACTAGAAAGTTTTATTTTTTTCATTAAAGAAAAAGATTTTATTTATTTATTCATGAGAGACACAGGCAGAGGGAGAAGCAGGCTCCACGCAGGGAGCCCGACGCGGGACTCGACTCCGGGACTCCAGGATCGCGCCCTGGGACGAAGGCAGACGCCTGACCGCTGAGCCACCCGGGGGCGGCACCCCAAAATAGAAAGTTTTAAACAGCTTCCTACCGCTCTCTGCGCTTCGCCCACAGGTGCACCTAGGCTTGGTGAATGCCAAACCCGGTATTTTCTAGTCATAAAGCTTTGTAATCCTCAGCTACCCACTATCTGTCCTAAAAATAGTAACTTTAGGAAAACCTCTTCTCAACCTTCACGGCCACTTGAGGTAATAGCTTATCTCCACCTGCTTTCTAAAGAAGCATGTCTTCCTCTTTGTCCTAAACTCATCTTGTGTTGGAGAAACCATCGGTAAATAAGATGGATGTGTCTAGGGACACCCGGGGGAGCCAAGCGGTTGTGCACCTGCCTTCAGCCCAGGGCGTGATTCTGGAGACCCGGAATCGAGTCCCACATCAGGCTCCCTGCAGGGAGCCTGCTTCTCCCTCTACTGTATCTCTGCCTCTATCTGTGTCTCTCATGAATAAATAAACGAAATCCTAAAAAAAAAAAAAAAAAAAAAAAGACGATGCGTCCGGAAAGCATTATATGCAAATAAGATAATTATGTATAAGCACCACTTAACAACTTACTATTGTTGAAACTCGAGGGAAGGATGTAGGATTGTGTGGCTAATTTTTACATTTTCTAGTTTTTAATACTTCATTCAACAAACATTAAGCACCTGCTACCATGTGCCCAATTCTGAGGGGACTTGTAGTCCTGCAGATAATTTGAACTTTACATTATCGAATTCCCTATTAGTAAAAGTTTTTAAAAAGATTTTAGATGGAGGCATGATGTGGTTAGACTTGCAACAGAAAAGGCTGAAAGGCTACGACAGGGGTCAGGGAGGTGATTCAGCACTGTGATTTTCAAATTAAAATTTGAAAAGCATTGCAGTCTTTTCCAAACAAAATCTGTCATTGAACCCAGCATATAAAGTACATGAAAACTTGTTTTATTGTTAAACATAAGTTCAAATTTTTAATGTTAACTTTATAGGTGAAGTTTTTTTAAAAGGCTATTTTGTTATTGCCTTGGGTTTTTTTGTTTTGTTTTGTTTTGTTTTAGTAGACAAGGCGTTTATCAGAAGGAAATTGGGTAAAGTAATAAACAGGAAGTCTGTGGAACCAAGCTCAGAAAATGGGAAGGAACCAAGGGAGTCTGCGGATGGAAGAGACTAACAGAAACTAGTCTGGCTAGGGTATCATAAAGGCCCCACTGTCACTGAAGGCTTGACTCTGCTATTTTATGCTTGAAAATTTACCAGGTTTGGGGTTATGGACAACAGTTGCATTTAGGAGGACTATAAGCAGCCTCAAGACAGTTTATTCTTTTGTTTGGGTTGTACACTATCAAGAATATCCTGATCTGTGTAGACAAGTGGATGCAAATTACAGTTGCCTTAAAATGATTTATCTTGAAATCTTGGTGCTTCAATTACAAAGATGGCAGGAGGAGGAAATTCTAAGATCTACACTAAGATTACTTAACCTGAAATTAATGTGTGAGCAGTTGGCAATGTGTTAAATTTTGGCATTATATCTCTTGGCAGTATGAAAGTTTATTTTAAAAAGTGAAATTTGAGTCAAACATTTGTGAAACCTGAAGTATATCTGAGAAACTCTAAGTTCTGTGGCATATATAAGGTAAAAAATACAAACCACTGATAAAGAGAGCCACATATTTAGATTAGGTTTCACTGCATTCTCCCTTGAAGGCTTGGGAAAAGGGCTAGGGAACTGAAATATTTCTACTGGAAGATGCTCTCTTGGAAGAACCTCATCAGTGATGGCTTCCTTAATTCAAGGCTCCATGACTATCTCCCTCTCTCTTCTATTCTAAGGTAGAAAATTACTTCAAAGAAAGCAGATGATGGTGGATCTATCTGAATACCTGAATACTCAGGTATTCAGGAGTGTTTGAATGAAATATTTTCTTAACCTAAAGATACAGAGCTGGAAAGCATGACTTCTAGCTATCTCTTCTGACTTTAAGATTATACAGTGCCATTTTCATAATTAAAATAAGATAATCTGTCAATAAATCCACAACTCAGATCAGTTCCAATTCTTGATGGTCATGAAACAAAGGGGCTTAGAAGTTGGCATTCAAAAGCATAAGTCAATGTTTTAAAAACATTATATCCAACAATTAAGAATTAATGGAGTAAACATATAAATATTTAGTTTTACACAAAACATGGAGAAATGGCATACCTCTTTGGAAGGAACCCCTTAAAAATAACTATGAAGAGTGATGCTGTGTATAGCATTTAGCTTGTGTGTGAATATGATGTTTGTCCTAGAAAGAAGGGATTTAGCCTTGTTTTATTTTAAGGGCACCTAGGATGCTATAGGTGTTCAGAACAAGTAAAAATGAATTCTTCTTAGGGCATTTGGGTGACTCAGTCAAGCTTAAGCATCTGCCTTTGGCTCAGGTCATGATCTCAGGGTCCTGGGATAGAGCCCAGGCTCGGTGGGGAGTCTGCTTGTCTCCCTCTACCTCTCCCTCCCATGCATTCTCTCTATCTCTCAAATAAATAAATACAATCTTTTAAAAAATGAGTTCTTCAAGATTGATAAATTGGAATATATTAAAATTAAGAATTTCTGTCCATTAAAAGGCAGTAGTACGAGAACCAAAAAGCAATCCATAGTATGAGAGAAGTATTTGCAATACATGTCTCTGACAAAGCATTTGGTATCTAGAACAAATCATTTTAAAAAGACAGGCCAATAGAAAGGTGAACAAAATATTTGAATGGCCTCTTCACAACAGAGAATATCCCGATGTACAATACACATGGGGAAAATTACTTAATTTCAATAATCATCTGAAAAGTAGACATTAAAACCACAATGTGATACCATTACACATCCACCAAAGTACCTGAAGTAGAAAAGATGGAAAGTTCTGAATGTTGGTGAAGATATGCAGCAATTAGAACTTTTATATATACTGCTGGCAAGTAATTAGGAAAAATTTTGGCAGTAAGTATTCAGCTGCCTATATAATATTATAAGTAATGTTATGACCCAGCCATGACACTCTTGGATATATATTTATGAGGCTATAACAAAAAAAAACAGAGATGGGCTGCCTAAACAACAGAAATTTGTTTTTCACAGTTCTGGAGACTGAGAAGCCTAAGATCAGAATAGTGGCTGATTGGGTTCTTCGGAGAGAGTTCTCTTCCTGGCTTATAACTCTTTCTCAGTATATCCTCCCATGGCCAACAGAGCTAGTTCTGGTGTCTTCCTTGTTCTCTCTGGTAAGAGCACTAGCCCTATCAGATTAGGGTCCAACTCTTATGACCTCATTTAATTTTTATTCCTCAGGGACCCTTTCTCCGACTACTGTCACATTGGGCATTAGGGCTTCAACATGTAAATTTTGAGATGATGCAAACATTCAGTCTATAATAATGCCCTGCAGAAATTGTGTGCATATGTTTTCCTTTTTAAAAAATATTTATTTATTCATGAGAGAGAGAGAGAGAGAGAGAAGAGGAAGAGACACAGGCAGAGGGAGAAGCAGGCTCCATGCAGGGAGCCTGGCGTGGGACTCAATCCCGGGTCTCCAGGATCATGCCCTGGGCCAAAGGCGGTGCTAAACCGCTGAGCCACCCAGGCTGCCCTGCACATGTTTTCCAAAAGACCTACAACAGAATATTCATAGCAGCACTATTCATATTTGTGATATTCAACCTGGAGGAAATTACTTACATGCCTGTTAACAGTAGAGTAGATAGACAAATTGTGGCATAGTCACTTGATGGAATACTATATAGCAATGAGAAAGAATGATCCATAATTGTACATAGCATGCAGGAATCTCATGAACATAAGAGTAAAAGAAGTCAGACACTAAAGTACTTACAGTATTTCATTTCCATAAGTTGTCAAAACTGGCCAAAATTCACCTTTGCTGTTAGAAGGCAGGATAGTGATCACCCTTACCAGGGGTGGAGGTCTAGGGAGTAGCCAGTGACTATGAGGGGACTTCCTGGGGGTTGGAATTATTCTCTTCTTTTGTTCATTTATTTCTATACTACTTTTTAAAAAGACCTTTTTTTTTAAAAAAAAAAAAGATTTTATTAGAGCATGAGTAACGGAGGGGTGGGGAGGGGCAGAGGAAGAAACAGACTCTCCAGTGAGCAGAGAGCCAGATATGGGACTCAATCCCAGGACCCAAGGATCATGACCTGAGCCAAAGGCAGAGAGAGGCTTAACTGACTGACCCACACAGGTGCCCCAAGACTTTTTTTTTTAAAGAGTAATTTTAGGCTCGCAGAAAAAATTAAGAGGAAGGTACAGAGATTTCTCATATACCCTCTGCCTCATACATTCATAGCCTCCCCCATTATCAACATCCCCACCAGAGTGGTATATTTATTATGATTGATGTACCTGTGATTGATCTGGGTTCTGTTAAAATGGGTGTAGTCAATTTGTGAAAAAAAATTTTCTTTTAAGTAGGTTCCATACCCATGATGGAGCCCAATACAGAGCTCGAACTCATGATCCTGAGATCAAAACCTGAGCTGAAATCAAGACTCAAATACTTAAGCAACTAAGTCACCCAGGTGCCTCGAGAATTCTTCTAACTGAACATGTATGGTATGTGCATTTTTCTGTATGTATATTATACTTCAATAAAAAGTTTGAAACAAAAAAAGTTTGAAACAGAATGAATTCTACAGGTAGTATTACATATTAACACATCCTATTACTAGTGTTTATTAAAAAATACATGTAGAGAACATGTAGAGTGGACATGACCCAAACATGACCTAGTACACATATAGAATATTCTCACGTTGTTTTTACAACCTTGCTGTGAGATTATGATTTATTCACATATTTTGAATGATGTGATTTAAAAGAAAGTTGGATAGGCATGTAGATTTTCATTCACTGCTATTCTCAGAGGGAGAATAATAGGCAAGATAGTGGTTGCATATGACAGTTAAAGGAATTTTGAAAAAGGGATATAAATGTTTACATTTAGGATTTCTTTTTTTTTTAAAGATTTTATTTATTTATTCATGAGAAACACACACACACACACAGAGGCAGAGACACAGGCAGAGGGAGAAGCAGGCTCCATGCAAGGAGCCCAACATGGGACTCGATCCCCGGTCTACAGGATCACACCCTGGGCTGCAGGCGGCACTAAACCTGCACCACTGGGGCTGCTCCATACATTTAGGATTTCATTGACAAATTTCAATTTGAAACTTAAGGACTTTTGATTCAAGGAATGAAGGACTATAGAGATGATGCTGCCCTGATTCATATTCCAGCATGCTTTAAAAACAGATACCCCCAAAATGCCACTGACCTAGCTTTCCTAGGAACCCAAATCTCCTTAATGGCTCAGTGCCCTCTAAGCCAAGCCCACTCCCATTAGTGGCGAATTTTGCTTGCTGCTCCATTCCTGTATCCTTGTGTCTGCCCTGGGAAGGACAGTATACATTGGCTTTATCAAAGTTATTCTCATGGTACTGAGTTATGGCAGAAGCCATTAGGAAAGGAAAGAACTGCCATATTCTTACCTAGATCTTGAGTCCTATGGAACTGATTGATGTTCTGAAAGCCTCCAAGGAGTTGGTTGCCAGCTGGAGCTGCTGTTACAAAGAGTAGCAGGAAGCATTACTCGGTAAAGCATGTTACTGTGAACATATAGGGTATAAGATCTTATCTAAACTACATGTTATGTCTAAACTATTCTCAAGCTCTCCCCTCACTGGCATGTAAACTTCCTAAGGACAGGTGGTTATGCCTGTTTTGTTAACCTTTGCGATTCTAGCACCTAGGACAGTACTTGCAATATGGTAGGTGCTCAACTTCTTGAAAAAATGAAAAAAAAAAAGTGGGCAAAGTGAATACCATTAGTGTGTTTGAAGAATGTTAGAGAAAAATTGTAATATGTAGGGTAAGTGGTTTTAATTTAATTACAATTTTAATTTTGGTAGTTAGAGAAATTAAACTATAGAATAGGTAAGAAACCTACCCAAGATCATATACCAGAATCAAGAATCAAAATTCTAAAAAAAAAAAAAAAAAAAAAAAAAGAATCAAAATTCTGACCTTCCAACTTTCTGTGAGCTTTTCTTTAGGAAACATTTCTATTTCTTTCTCCTGCTGTGGATGCTAGAATCCAGTGGCAAGGAGACATATTTGTCACTTTTTGAAACCAGATAGCAATTTATGCTAATAGATAATACAATCTATTTTATAGGCATGTTTCCAATATTACAAATCCTATGTAGTCAGTTTGGGGAAGCATTTGAGAACATGGCCAAATAAATTTACCTTGTCGTATGGGTCATAGTTATGGTCCCAACTTTGTAAAGTATGCTTTGTTTTATTAACATATACATGCATGAAAAGCATATGACACTTTTGTAGCACAAATCATATTTTCATACTGAATTACAAAGATATTTTGGTTTTATTGCTGATCTTCCTTCGACAGTGGCTTTTAGCACTTCAGCTTAAGCCTTTATGCCCCCTCCCCAGTCTCACTGTCAAGTAGTTAATGATCTATAAACAAATACTGAGATGCCCTAAGGGGGCTCTCCATTTAAAGGGGCCTTGAATCATTTGATAATAGAAATACAGTAGTCCACCCACTGATTTATGATTTGTCAGTTTAGGTTTTTGAAGTGATGTTCCACTGGTATTTCAGGCGGGACAAGTTTTTAATTTTCTGTGTAATTAACATTTATTTTTAATCTAATTTTTCCTTTCAGGAGAAAACTTTTTTTTTTAAGATTTTATTTATTTATTCATGAGAGACACAGAGACAGAGAGGCAGAGACACAGGCAGAGGGAGAAACAGGCTCCATGCAGGGAACCTGACATGGGACTCAATTCCGGGTCTCCAGGATCAGGCCCTGGGCTGAAGGCATCGCCAAACCACTGAGCCACCTGGGCTGCCCACAGGAGAAAACTTAAAAACGTTAATTTACATTTGCAGTTTTCATTGTATGAAATACTTTCTTGTGTGTGCATAAGTATGTACATTTCAGTTCCATAAGCTAAAAGTGGCCGCAGAGGGTAATAATACCTCATAATGATATCTCTCAGTTCCTGAGAATTTCTTCCTGCTAGGCAGTTTAAACCTATTTTCTCATTTAAACAACACTCCAAAGCAGGGCTTCATTTACCTCAATATCAAGCTGAGGAAAATGAATGTCAAAAGGTAGAGAAGTTGAAACAGTTAACTGCAGTCACAGAGCAGGCAGGTGATAGAGCTGGGATTTGAACCTTCATTGGCAGTAAGCAAAACCTTATGCTTTGAACAAAGTTAGAGTCAAGTGATGCCAGACTCAGCTGAAATGTTGCTGACACAACTGAACATCCCTTGGATGTTGCATAATCATGAAATAACATTATAGTTCCAAAATATGGCCCTTCTAGCCTAGGAGTCTGCCTCAAAGGAAATTTGGGGGCTACATGATGACTCAAAAAAAAAAAAAAAAGATTTTCAAAGCTAGATCACTTTGCAAAATTTGTTGTAAAACACTATTTCTATGTATATTGAAAATACTTCCAAAATATCTTGAACATTTTCTTTTTATTTATTTTTAAAGATTTTATTTATTCATTCATGAGAGAGAGAGAGAGAGAGAGAGAGAGAGAGAGAGGCACAGACACAGAGGGAGAAAGCAGGCTCCATGCAGGGAGCCTGGCGTGGGACTCAATCATGGGTCTCCAGGAATCCACCCTAGGCTGAAGACGGCGCTAAACCGCTAAACCGCTGCGCCATCCAGGCTGCCCATCTTGAGCATTTTAAATGTGCTAAGACGTTTGGGCACCATCAACAAAGATCCCAACTTTAAGCCAATTATCAGCTCTGAAAATTGGGTTTTATTTGGGGACCATGAGTAAAGCATATATAGAAATGTTTTGGACTTTTACAACTTCTTGGTAAGTCTAAAATTTTATTCAAATTAAAACGGTTAGTTTGAAAAAACTTTGTATTCTGGCCTTAATTTGGATGGGTTTGAGTAATCCGCCACTATGGATAATAGGCACATTTAGTACAAGCCAGCATTTCAGTGAACCACAACTTATGGTTCAGCTTTTTTTTTTTTATTCCTTGTTGCTATTTCTAATAAAGCAAGATGTTAAAGCTAACTACATGCTCTATTAATTATATGAAGGTGAACTTGAGTCATATTTGTTACTGAAGATGATTAATAATTACCAGTTCTGCACACGTTTCTGGTGCATTTCAGTAAATAAACAGGGTACGTTGTTGGATAGTAATTGATTAATTAGCACATTCATCCTACACAGCTCAATGGTCTAAGGATGCTGAGTTTGAGATATTGCTCATAATTATTACAAGAAACAAATCTGTTCCATTTTTCAGTTTATTCTTCTGTATGCTAAGATTTTTTTTTCTAAATCGAATGTTTAATGGTTCAAAACCTTATAGGTTTTATTCAGATAAATCAACTCATGAAGAATTGCTAGTCATAATCTCCAGAATCTTGTTTTTGTGTGAACTAGGGTGAAAACTTTTACAAGGCTAATGTTAACATTAGATCTTGCTGTTAAACTGGATCAAATACTGTAAATATAGGGCACTTCCCTACCATGCAGGAAATGCTCATTGAGCACCTATGCGCAACAGGGGCACTGGAATCTCATTTGCTTCCCAACCACATCAAATAAGCTCAGGATTGCAAGTGTCATCAGGTTGGCACTTCGCAGCACCAAGCAAATATACTGTGCAATCTTCAGAGAAGTATAACAGCATGTATTGTTTGCTGATTTGACTATGCAGTAATTTAGGATTTTTTTTTTCCCCATCTTTATTAAGCCAGCATGTAATTGAGAGAGCTGTAGACAGGGAATCAGGAGTCCTAGGTTCTACTCTACCTGTATTCTTTCTTGAAGAAGTTCTGTGATTCTGAGCACATAACTATTCCTTTCTCTAAGCGTGGATCACTCATCTGTAAAATGATGGTGTCAACCAGGGACAGTGAGGTATATGAGGAGCCTAGGCTGCAGAGACAGACAGGGCTAGGTCTATCTGAGTCTGGACTCCCTGTTACTATTTTGGGGAAAATTATGTATTTAAGTTCTTTGAGTTTCTTCTCTGTTTACTTTGAGTTTATTGCAAGGATTAAATGAGATATGAAAATAACATAAAGTTCCTATGAATATATGGCATTGTTAATATTATTAATAACTATCTTACCTCATTGACCTTAACATGGCTTTTTAAAAATATTTTATTATTCATGAGAGACACACAGAGGGAGAGAGAGGCAGAGACACAGGCAGAGGCAGAGGGAGAAGCAGGCTCCATGTAGGGAGCCCGACATGGGACTCGATCTCGGGTCTCCAGGATCATACCCTGGGCTGAAGGCCTGAAGGTGGTGATAAACCACTGAGTCCCCAGGCTGCCCCGACCTTAACATGTATTTGAAGGATGCATCAGAGTGCCCATGTACTGGTCTAACAATAGGGGATTATTAACATCCTTTATGCCATTATTGAAATCTCATTGGATAAGAATTTCTGATGTCGTCATAATTTATTGCTAAGTGAAAAACACAGTCTGCAAAACAGTATTTCTGGTATGATCCTATTAAATT